GCTCATGTTCAGCCGGCTGTCAACCAGCACCCCCAGGTCCTTTTCCGCCAGGCAGCTTTCCAGCCACTCTTCCCCAAGCCTGTAGCGCTGCATGGGGTTGTTGTGGCCGAAGTGCAGGACCCGGCACTTGGCCTTGTTGAATCTCATACAGTTAATGCTGTATGCCACCCCGTGCCCATTCTTCTGCTAGTCAGTCCCTGTTGTCTTGAATGGGTATATTACTTAGCATAGCATCCTTTTTTCCTACAATTAAGAGTAATCACCTTTTCCACTGACTCATCCAGTCAAACGCTTCTCCTGATGTTCTTATGAAAGCTGATGCGTTTTTTTCTGTATGCAGCTCGAGTGATAATTCTAGTAAAAAAAATTGTGTATAAATATGAGGCAAGACTTGTATTAGACTTGAAAATCTGTGTTCTGTGTGGAGAGAATGGTAAAGGTGTAGAGGGTGCTAAGAGTTGCTGTAATTTTATGATCCAATAAAAACTATTGCTGTACCTTACCATACATATAGGGAAAAATGGTCCACTGCCCACAGGGCCTGTGCTGATGTCAGCTTCTTCTGTTTCCTTGTGGATACTACCAGGTGAAGCTGGCATATCAGGAGTCTGAGATTGCAGCCCTCTTGAAGAAGATTCCCTTGGGCACTAATGAGATGAACACTATTCGAGGAAGAGCTGAAGAACTGCGAGAAGGGACATTATGTGATTACCGTCCTGTCCTGCCTCTGATGTTGGCTAGCTTTATATTTGATGTTCTGTGCACTCCAGGTACTGTCTTCATTGGCTTGAGTATGCGAAGGGCACATTCTGGGATGCCAGGTCTTAAGGGGTTTTCCAAGAGAAACTGTCTTCTGTACAAGAACAACCTAATCTTGATTCTTCACACACTGTTGCTTGCTCTTCACCTCCATGTTGCTTTAGAGGTACTTTATGCCCCAATGGAATTATATCTCCTTCTGCTTACATTTGAAACCAACTGGAAACGTACCACATTTAAGCACTCTGTGTGTGTTTGTAAAATAGTTATAAATGACTGACTTTTCTAATCTTATGCTGGTTACATTCAGAGGAAGCTAATATAAATCTAGTATTTCAAAAAGAACAAAACAACCTGGGATTAGAAGACTGACTTGGCAATATACTGGTTTGCAGCCTTCTGAGTTTAGAGAGGGAAAGGGAAAAAAACCCAAGACAGTGCCGTGGTCTTGAAACTGGTACCAGGCTAGGAATAGGACCACAGGAAGCTCTGCAAATTCAGAAAGCTCTCAGAAATGGCTTTTGCCTTGAGGTCCTAGTTTTGAAAGCTGAGCACTAATTCTCTTGTCTTCTTTCAGTGGTTTCTCCTACAGGCTCTAGACCCCCAAGCCGTAATTGGAATAATGAAATGCCTGGAGATGAAGAGCTTGGTTTTGAAGCAGCTGTTGCTGCTCTTGGTAAGAATCTTTTACAAGAGAAGTCTTTCTTCATCCATGTTCTGCATCCTGCCTCATTGTGGATGGTGAGAGTTAGTAGTTCATTCCAGTTTGGTGCAGAAATGAAAGCGTTTGCACAGTTTATCAGAACCAGATGCAGAAGGATTCTGCATGCCAGGGTTGAAGTGCCTTTGCAAAGCTGTGAAAAATGGAAGGGGGATAACGGGACAGGAACTAAATGTTCCTAGTAGTGACAGGAATTTTAGCTTTCTTCTTGCTTTTTTGTCGCAGAAGATGTATTGCCTGGGCTTTAATGGAAATGGACAGTTTCAGAGAACAAAAGGCAATCATTTTAGAAGAGGTTAGACAATGATAGTGAAAGACTGCAGAAGTACTCTCAAGCGTTATCATATAATTCAGGATCTTGGCATAATACTGGATTCTTGCATCATTTATCAGCTTCAGCAACAAAGCAGTGATTATATATATTATGTTGACAATACTGTATGCCTGTTTTAAAGCAGCATGCAAAAAGGAATAGAATGGATTAAACAAGGCCTGGCCTCTCTTGCCTCATCTCTGAAAGGAGGAAAATGAGTTCTTTATGGTGTGTGAATGCTGGCTTGCAGCATGTGCAGAAACTGGAAAAGTTTGTTTCAAGATGGAGTTGTGGGCTTGCCTGTACTCCATGGCATATTAGGATCTGGTTGTTCTGACGGTTGTAGCAAGCTTAGTATTCTGGGGACAGACAGCAGCTCCTGTTTATTCATGACCTATTTCTGAAGTTAACAGAAAAACGGGGGGGGAAAAAAAAATCTTCTTTTGCCTGTGACAGGGAGGTGAATAAAATAGTCTGAGGTATAGATAGTGCTCAGGATGTGGTGTAGTCCCATGGGCTCACTTGTCTCTTCATCCCCTCTTTTCTGGCCTGCAGGCATGAAAACAACTGTCAGTGAAGCAGAACATCCTCTGTTGTGTGAAGGCACCCGAAGGGAGAAGGGGGATCTGGCACTAGCCCTGATGATTACTTACAAGGATGATCAGTCTAAGCTGAAGAAGGTGAGTTTCCCTTTAAAAAGGGGAGAGGGAGATGCAGAGCAAACCATAGAATCATAGAATCATTGAGGTTGGAAAAGACCTCTAAGATCATC